TTTGTTTAAGAAAATAGCCAAGTGATTGAAACTTTGCACCAGTCATGTTAACATTTTTATAGCAAATTTTTAATTTCTCTCTAAAAATGTCCGTATGAGTAACGGTTGTTGCTGTGACGTCACACCACTACTAACTTGGTGGGCTCACACCGATGGAACATTCATTACTTGAAGGATCTTCGAAGTATGCAGACTTATGTTTGTGCATAGACAAGCACATGATGAAAACCCTGTACCGTGCATTCTCACACACACACCAATCAAATGTAATTACGTCACTATGTCACACACACACACACACACACACAAAATCTCATATGAAAAAAATTCTGAACGATCCATGCACCAGACCCTTCAAGGTCACATCGCCTTGATGTTACTAAACAACAACAAAAAAAGCAATTAATACGTCATAGTGGTGGGGGAGGCCCAGAACCGGCTGTAATCTACTACTTTCAATAGATATGCAAACTCTACATAAATGTAAATAAGGATTTAATTCAATAAATAAGTCCTATGCTGATTTTGTTCTAGATTCTCCATCTTGGCCTGATTTTATTGATTGTGAGAGATGTTGATCAGATTTTTATATATTTATTAGTTTCGATTTTAGTTATTTTTTAAAAGCTTGAGTAAATAATTATAGATTTTTCAAAGGATTATCTCAGCACGTCATAGCCAAAAAATTCACTCCTATTGGTAAAACAACTATAGTTATTACGAATTAAAACAAAATTTTACTTTATGAAATATATTTTTCTTTAGTTTTTATTCAATTTGTATTAGTAATATTTAGTTATAACAATTGAAAATGTTATTTTAATGAGAAACTACACTTTTAATCAAAACTTACATTTAGTGAACAATATCAGGTGAACAATATCGCCCTTCAGCGATAGTGTTCGTTATTTCATTCACGTACATAGATACGCTTTTTGATGTAGTCCTAAATAAATTTAGATCCGGGGACATCGGAGGAGAAGGACAAATTGTGCTGAAACCCTTTCTAACTAAAACCAGATAATTCTGATTTGAAGGTAATTCTTGCAAGACTGGCGGACATTTTGCAAAAATCATAAAAACGGTTGTCCACCTACTCTTCAGATAGCTCAAAAATGTTTCATTTATTATACCTGCCCATAAATAAATAATGAACTGTTGCTGGAAGCAAATATTATTTATTATTCATGATTTTTCTACTGTCAATAGTGTAAATTGTATGTGTTGAACGACAAGAGAACGACTGAGCTAATTACCGCCGATCTTCTTAATTTCATAACATTATCATTTTTGAACCACATTAGATTCAAGTTCATAATGGTTACGATTGAAGATGTATCAAATTTCAGTTAAATCGGACAGTAAATGAAAAATGTGTCTGACATTCTGTATTTTTTGTACTAAATTATATTACAGCCCCAAATAATTGTACCTGTGCATTTGTTCAATCGATTGGACAACTTTTTTTTCATTCAGTTTTGCGCTGTACTAAGACCTTTGAAAATTAGTCTTCAAATCGGACTAGATACACACGTCGTATATCTCCCGACTGAATCAAAATATAGATACGAAAGAGTATATCTGAGTATATTAGTGAAAAATCATCTAACAATATCGCAACCAATATAATTAGATTATTATTATCAACACAAAAGAGGTATACAGGTGAATTTTCAGATACCGTAATTTACAAATGTCATATACCCTAACGTTATTCAACCGATTTTAGTGTCGAAAAAATATTGAGAAAAATACAAACAAAATTCATGTAGTTGGGATTGACCCAAAAAATATGTTTTCAGCTTTCTTTGCCTCTTTATGTAATTGTGAAAAAATATTGCATTTACCCATTTCTGTTCTGAAATGTTTTACTCAGAATTTCCACTCCAAGGTTTTAATTTTTTCAGTTTTAAGAATTGAGTATCAATGAAATGGCGTAAAAAGGTCAAAGATCATCAACAACGTAACCATTGCATTAGAAGATCAAGTATATTCTTCTCTTTAAGTATATTTCACTATCAATATCCTTTCAAGAACAATTTAATCAACTAAACAAACTTCTGATATAAGATTTTTTTTCAAATAAGGTAAATGGTAATACTATTTGGGATACTAATTGTGTTAATAATTATTATCAATTACTTTTGGTTGCAGTTGTTTTGTTATTGATGTGGTTCAGGTATTAATGAACTAGTATCAACAATAAATATTGGTATTTATTTCAATAGTCTTACAATCCGCCGTGACAAGATCTCTTTTATGACAGCTCCCCTTCGCCGTTGCTTTGATACGCTAAAGGTACTATATCATGAACAGCGGTATCGTTGGGGGCACTTTTCAACATTATACAAGCTATACCCTTTATACCAAATATTGATCTCACAAAAATGAGCCAAGAATTCATTTTTGAGTGAATTTCAACATGAAAAAACTCCGAAACTATTGGCGATACTGAACAATTGTATTTTAAATTAAAAATCTCATGGTTCTAACAAAAATTTTATAATTTTCTTAATCAATATAATTTTACGGAAATTCAGTATAATGTTCATTATACAGCGTGACTCACGGTCGATGGTAGGTTAGACGTTTCTGGAAAACGCGAAGCATGATTTTTCTGAAAATTTCACCTCTCATATTTCCTTACCTGTTCTATCGATCTAAAATATTTTCAGCATTGCGGCGTTGCCACTTCCATTAAAAAGTCTTAGCAACTTTATTTTTTTTAATGGAACACCCCGTATATTAATACATTTTTTGAATCGCTCTGGTATTTTAATACTTTTTTGTTAATAATGTCCTATACCTATCTCTATCTGTTTTCGAGATAAAAAATAAATTGTGCTAAATATGGTCCAAAACATAGCCTTAATTGAAATTAAGTACATCAGTACTCTCAATTCATGAAAAGTTGATATTTTGATGATAGTTTGGACAAACTCGAAATATTCAAATAACACCGAAAAATCGACTCCATATCATATAGGGCGTGCTAAAATTACTATTATTTCCATTGTGAATAAAAGTAGTCGAAAGCCTTGCCACAATAATGTGGGGTTCTGTTTTTTAGACCCTTCCTGTTTAGCTACTCGAAGGACCTTTTTTGGACAATGAAGTACCTAACCAAAGAATCTGGCCTTGGCCTACAGAGGATATGAACTTCGGCTCAATGAACCCAACTGTCCTTCCTGTGATATCGGATCAAGAGCAAGGGCTTTTCTGTTCTTCAACTCTTAGTCCTACTAACGAACATTAAAAGAATAGGTGATGCAGCTAGGAAGTGTCTCATCGCTTCCTCAAGAGCAGGATATGTTATGAATCTGTCTTGCATTAAATCCTTGATCAGAAAAAGAAGAATCTGCATCAGGGGAGAAACAAACTCCATCTGGGTAGCAGATATGGATCTCCCACAAGGATCCGTCTTGGGGCCCGTGTTGTTTATTTTGTATATTAGATCAGATTGATTGCATTTTAAAAAGTTGTCATCACTCTGCCTACGCAGATGATTTATCATTTGTGTTAACTTCATCTGACACTAATTTACTAAATCGTAAATTTAGTGATGTGATGAATAATATTTTAATTTTTTTCAATGAACGTTCTTTATTTTCCAATAGGAAAAAACAAAGGTAGTACGTTTTCACAATCGTCGGAAGGCAATTGAAAATCTAGATTTTAGAGTAAATCAGACAATCTGTCTCAAGAATTTGTCAGGTTTCTTGGGGTGTATAATTAGATGAATTTTCAAGTTGAAAAACACACTGTGGGCAAATTTAATTCCCTGAATTTGCTTCTTTTGAATCTTCGAGATTTTCTCAATAAGGCACAGTTACTGACAATTTACTACACCCAAATTGATTCAAGGCTCGGATGGTATGTCTCTGGGAAACTTCCACCTCAGCATCGGATGTTTTTATTAGTCATACCTTGGTAAATATTCTATTCAGGGACCTCTTACATGTATGTACATTTTTGATACACCTGTTAATATTTTTAAAAACAATTCGTTTTTGGAAATGAATGAAGATATTCATGGTTATGATACTAGAAGTAAACAATCCATGTATATTCCATTTGCAAAAGTGAATACTACATATTTTGCCCCATGAATTTTCAAAATACTCCCAAATATCATTAAACAACATGAAAATGTGAGACATTTCAAAAAGACTTGAAACTTTTTTATTGAAGAAATGTTTTTATTCTCTTTTTAATACTTTTAATAACCTTTAGGATTAGGATTGACAATTACCATAGATTTGACTGTCAACGGAAAATGAAGATTTATTATTATTTTTAGATCAGGTGTAATAGATGCCCTAGTATGGAAAGGTTGCTGCGGTCATGAAGGTGAGAATCTTGCTCCGTGAACATGCGACAACCTTAAATTCAACCAATCAACAGGATTCTCTCAAGGAATATCTTCAGTATGCCATTATGGCTGTTATAGAGAATTTTCCAGAAGAGGGTTCATAGGCAGAATTGCAGAGTTGTACATTCTGGCATGGATGGTTATTGGCTACCTGAGAAAATCAGGAAAGCGTGGGTGCAAATAATACCCTGCAGCCATAGGAGGGCGTCACAGGAGACCTACTTTCCAAATCACAGATTTGTGTTGCTCACCTACCTGACAAAGGCAATCGCATTACGCCGATCAGGAATCCACCAGATTGAGGAAAATGTACCACGGTCTGTTAACGTTTGAGTAAATTATTCTTCAGTCCTGGTAGCAGAGCACATACTCTGCGCCTGCCCTGATTCTGCCCCGCCATCACAAATGGGATACGAGACGTGTGTTGTCTCGATGATTCAAGCCTCCAATCAACTTTCGTTAAAGAAGAGACATAATTCCATCTTATGTGTTTGGAAAATATTATTTTCATTATTATTATTTTTATTAATGAATGCATTTTGAAATATTTGTAATCACATGTGTCTATATTTTTCTATTTATAATATTATTTTATACAGTCATCAGAGCATTTTTTTTAATGTTTCAGGCTTTGCTGTACCTCATCACCCTATTAGACCCTATCGTAAGGGGGGACTACGTTATCGCATATTTCCATACTTTGACATCAAGCAATAATTACCCTTCTTTCTCTTGGCTCAAAGAAGTGTACAATGTTCTGCCATACAAATATAAGAAAAATTTGAAGGCATTCTATGTTGTTCATCCTACTTTCTGGACAAAGGTAAGATATTGTAATATTGTCCTATTAGAATTACACTTATTGTGAGAAACCCCCTCAACAGTTTACAAAACCGACGTGTTCAATATTTACTAACTGAATTTCTTCATTGTGTATAATTTGCATCAATGACTTTAACTACATAACCAATAAATTTTTACAGTTCTGCGATCGTACACAATTAAAAACTTGTGATGCACTGTTTGGAACCTTTGGTGTAGTAATGACTATTAGTGAAGTTTTTTCCTAACACCAAACCGTTATTTTAACACCTCGACACGTGTTTTGATCACCGACTGGGCATCTTCAAGAGGACGATCAAACAGTTTGAGATCTAAACATGTTTCGAGGTGTTAAAATAATGAATCTGAAGAAATGAATTTTAAACGTTCAAGCCAGTCTCGAATATACCTGCACAGTAGGTTGAATGGATTAACGCCTATCAGAAAACAACTACTCCCCTCGCTAATACCACGCAGGGCGTTGAATCGTATCCGACAGGCGTCAGTGCAGGAATCTTCACAGAAAATTTCCTGCATATGCAATTGGCAATACTTTCAAGTTTTCCCAAATGTCCATGCGGTTTCCCTTGTTGACTTGTTTTATGAGTTTTATGTTCTCTGGTGGGAAGAAATTAAAAATTCCTTACGATATTAAAATTGTCAATTATTCGATTTCGCAAGTCATATTCACATCTTGTACAGAAGTTCTATAAACAAGAACCCATAAATAGAAATCTAGAAGATTCATATCAGGACTGCGAGCTGACCATTTTTGAGGTCTTGCACGTCCAATTCAGCGATTAAGGTAGTTGATGTAAAGATGCTGACGAGCAAAAACACTAAAATGAGCTGGATTGTCGTCGTGCAGAAACCACATGTCGCTTCTTACAAGTATCGGCACTTCTAACAAAATGGATAAATGATCTCGCAAAATTTCCCTGTAGGATTCACCTGTTGATCTTGCTGGTACAAAAAATGGGCAAATAAGATAGTCACCAATCATTCCTACCCAAATTGTTGCTGAAAATGACTTTGTCTAATAACGTGGGGATTTTCGTCGGCCTAAAAATGGTCATTGTGAAAGTTCATAATAGCATTTCGTGAAATTTTTTTTTCGTCCGGTACTATTTCAAGGATCTTATTCTATCGCATCAAGTATAGCTTCTTCCAGTTCAGGCGTTGTTACAGTTTCTGGTGTTCCATCACTTGCATTTTTATCAAAACATAATCTTGCATGTAGCATTCTAAATGTTTTAACACATGGAATTACCCTGTTAAGATATCTGTCCTAGTAAATTATCCGTGCTTCTTCAGCATTTCCATTTGCTAATCCACATGCAAAGTTTAAAGTGGATTCAATTTTTTTTCTCGAAAGCGGAGCTAGATATGAAGAAAGCACAAGTTACGAAAAAGTTAGTTTTAGTTGATTAACCTGAAACAAAACTACAAAAACAAGTCAGTGGCGTACTTTTTTCCCAATATTGTTGGCTGTGATGGCCACTGACACTCCACTGGACCTAATAATTTCAATCTACTTAGGGCTAAATAAGCATCTTATTACTTCAAATAACTGTAGCAAATTTGAACCAAATCGGTGTACGGATATTTATGATATTTTGTAAATACTGTTTTTTTTTCAACTTCAACGCCCTGTATCTCAGAAACGAAGCATCTCCGAATAGTTAGGAAACACCCTGTATATTACTGGTCCATCACTGGCTCGCTTATCTGTTAGGTGATTTGAAAAAACCTTATCTATTTTTCAGCTTGTGGGTATTATGTGGTATTTGTCAAGATATAATGATGAGAAAAATTGTGAAAGGTACAACTAGAACGTCTGGTAAAAAATAAATCCAGAAGAGTGCTGCAGTTCAATTCTTTAGGAAAAGAGTTCTTTTTGGAGTAATATTTATTTTCAATGATTTTCTTATCAACATGAAGCTTACTGAAATGTAAAAAATTAAATTCAATCAACAACGTTTTCTATCAAGGGGTTTCATGTAAAGAAGATTATCCGAATGACCTCTTAGGTTGCCAACTTATTTGTAAGTTTGAAAAGTAAAGTATAAATCATGAAATCCGATGAACTCACAGAATGCATTGGAGGGATTTGATTTGCTTCGATTTTGGTTGTGTATATATAATAAACGAATCAGTCCATACATTTTACAAATCAAAATTATGCACTTCGGACTTCAGTTCGGACTTCCATTGTCTAATAAAATATAAATTGATTTGAAATCCCTGAAAAAAATTAAAAAGATTAACCGAAAATAACAATTTTATTAAACAAAAAACTGAAATTACAATTTTTTTGAAATCTCAGGGATTTCGAATCAATTTATATTATATTAAACAATGGAAGTTTGAACTGATGAAATACACCACGAAACGTTGTCAACCACCTTGAAACAAATATACACTTCATACCTAATACATTCAAATTGAAATAGAAGTAAATAAGATTATTTCTATAGTATTTTCGTTTTGACATCATTTTTTATGTGTAACATGTCCCTGACATTTAAAGGTTTTATAAAACCATTATAGTGAAATCATTCAACCCTTCATAAAGACTTTAAAAATTACGAATATTCTTTGTATCAGTTATACAGTCTTGAAAAGTTTTGTTGTGTCTTTCTTCAAAAAACATTTTACATTTTCAAAAGATTCTAAAATTATTTTCAAGAGATAATATTACAATATATTTTTTCAGATGATGACATGGTGGTTCACAACATTTATGGCACCTGCAATAAAGCAAAAGGTTCACAGCTTGCCAGGTGTGGAGTATTTGTATTCAGTAATGTCACGGGAACAACTTGAAATTCCCGCATTTATTACCGAATATGATATGACTGTAAGTATTTTCAGATAGAAAATTATGGAATTTGAATGATACTACTTGAAACGAAATGAAAGATGAGGATTTTTTTATAAATTGTTAAGTAGCCTTCATATGAAATTTGAAAATTCAGTCATGCAGATGTCACTTTTCACACAACAAAAAATAAAATTTCGAGAATGTTTTCCTAAAATTGTTGAATATTGGTCAGTCAATCAAACAACTGTTTTTACTGTTGTTAATTGTCAGTTATGGTCATAAAAGTTCTCTTGTAAAAAATATGTAAGGAATCGCATGATAAAAGGTAAGACCTCCTAAATCCTCAGCTCGAATACGTTTCTACTTCTGAGGGTTGTCGTTCGTAAAGGGGCGACACCTATTCAACGGAAAAACAGATTTTAACAGATTTAATATTACACAAATAATTTATAAATGTAGGTATGAGCTGTTGATGAGCTGTTTTCTCGGGTTTCGCTCCGTGATGTGTGTATTTTACACACAACGTTTCGTTACAGTCCAATTTGCCAGCTTCTGATGAAGTCTGGAGTTTTTCAACCAGACTGCAGTTTTAGTAGAGCCTTGATGATGATAGCATGACCAGCTGTCGAAAGCGCTCGCATATAGTAAATAGGAGTTATAAAGTTTCAAATTCTTTTCGTAACATATATTAATAATAAAATACTGAAAATAAAGGAAAATTTGCTGCATCATTCAAAA